CCCAGCCGGTTTTCCCCCTCGGGGTGCCGGCGGATCGACGCTGATGCCTTTTCGCCCCCTCGCAGGGCTCTCCCCAACGCTGGCCATCCATGTCTACACGCAGCGGGAGGTCTACGGCACCGTGGGCTCGCACGTCACCCTCTCCTGCAGCTTCTGGTCCAGCGAATGGATCTCCGAGGACATCTCCATCACTTGGCACTTCCAGGCCGAGGGCTCCCGGGACAGCATCTCCGTAAGCGCCGCCCCTCTGTCCCGGCGTCGGGCCGGCCTCGTCATGCCTGGAGCCGTCCTGACCCCGCTGCTTCTCTTCTCCCCCCTCCAGATATTTCACTATGCCAAGGGGCAGCCCTACATCGATGACGTGGGCACCTTCAAGGAGCGCATGGAGTGGGTGGGCAACCCGCACCGCAAGGACGGCTCCATCGTCATCCACAACCTGGACTATACCGACAACGGCACCTTCACCTGCGACGTCAAAAACCCCCCTGACATCGTGGGCAAGTCCTCCCAGGTCACGCTCTACGTCTTCGAGAAAGGTACAACGCTGGGCCAGGCTTCGCACCCCCCCCATCCCTGCCTCAGTTTCTCTGCTGGCTTCATGCCCGCTGCATCCCCAGCTCTCCGGGGGCTAAAGAGCACCTCATGTCCCTGCAGTGCCCACCCGGTACGGCGTTGTCCTCGGCTCTATCATCGGAGGAGCCTTGCTGCTGGTGATCGTGGTGGTGGCCCTGGTGTATCTCATCCGGTACTGCTGGCTCCGGAGGCAGGCGGCCCTGCAGAGACGGCTTAGGTGAGCGCAGGGAGGATTTGGGGTGAGACGGACCTGAAACGGGGGCTGGCGGGGGAAACCAGAGCAGCCTCATAGACAGGACCCGGTTTTGCAGCGGGACCGGGCGGTTCGGAGGCAGGGGGACTGTGCGTACCTGGGTCCCGCTGGCCTTTCTGAGCTGCCTCTTTGCATTTCTGTGCCCGGTTTAGTGCCATGGAGAAAGGGAAGCTGCAGAGATCAGCCAAGGACGCGTCCAAGCGCGGCCGCCAGGTGAGCGCTGGGGTTGTGGGCTCAGTTCGGGAGGGCGTGCAGAGGCAAGGCATCCCCTGTCCCACACAGGTCCCAGGCCTGTAGCCCGTCACAAGGGGAGAATCCCATGGGAACAGCCAGGAGATGATGGAAGAGGGGAAAAAGTGGCCCAGGAAAACTTTCCCTTTTGCATTTGGAGACAAACCCTGCTGGTGGGAGCTGGGTGTCCCCAGCGCAGCTGAGACTGAGGGAAGAAGGGCAAAGCGCCCGGGCGCTGGCTGGAAAACTGGGGCTGGGGGGGGGCCTGGGGGGCTGTCCCCG